GGAGAAGGGGGTGGGGGGGCGTTGCGGAAGTGCTAGGCTCTGTCAGGCCGCGGGAAAAAGAGGGAACCCCCTCTCCCCACACAGCCGGTCTGTGGCAGGTCCCTCCGCGCCGGGTGTGCAGTCTGCACTCAGGTAGGCTGGAGGGCTAAAGGTTGCCCTCTGGCCATCGCCCATACCCACCACGAGGCCTGGGGGCTGTGCAGAGAAACGGGACTCCGCTGTTTGCACCTGTCAGCCCTTAACGCATCTTGTCCACTCCCGTGGTGTCTGCAGACAGGCGTGGGGGTGAAGCTGCGGCCTGTGCACCTCTGCCCGTACAGTGCATACAGGCACACAGTGTGCATTGTGGCACTTTGTCCAGGTGATTGCTGCCTTAGTGTGGGAAAGGGCCTGCAATAATTACTCAGTAGAGGGTGTGCCTTTCAAAGTTTTTAGTAATTGTTTTTCCTAGATCAAAGGTGCACTAGATTTTTTGCTGGCAGTAAATGTCAAAGAGAAGGAGAGGGGGCTAGAATCTCTGCTCTCCTGAGACACCCCCCCGCTGCGGTGCTGAGTCCAGCTCTGGGGCCCAAAATATCAGAAGGACACGGACCTGCTTGAGCAGGTCCAGAGGAGACTGTGAAAATGCTGGGGGGGGCTGGAGCACCCCCCTGTGAGGACAGGCTGAGAGAGTTGGGGGGTTCAGCTGGAGAAGGCTCTGGGGAGACCTTAGAGTGGCCTCCCAGGGCTGAAAGGGGCTGCAGGAAAGGGGGGAGGGACTCCTGATCAGGGGTGTAGGGATAGGGTGAGGGGTAATGGTTTTAAACTGACAGAGGAGAGATTTAGGCTAGATGTAAGGAAGGAATTCTTCCCTGTGAGGGTGGTGAGGCCCTGGCACAGGTTGCCCAGAGCAGCTGTGGCTGCCCCCTCCCTGGAAGGGTTCAAGGCCAGGTTGGACGGGGCTTTGGGCAACCTTCCACTAGGAAGGTGTCCCTGCCCCCATGGCAGCGGCTTGAAACTGAGTGATCTTTAGGTCCTTTCCAACTCAAACCATCCTGTGATTCTACATCACAAAACTGATTGTCTTTAGTCATGCTAAGTAAAGCTCTAGACATTTAAATAGGTAGTGATATTATCACTTTAATGTAACCACAATGCTTAGAAATTCAGCAGAAAAATGTAAGCTGCACTCTTGATGTCCAGTGTCTAAAGGGTGTATTAGGATAAACAGAGATCTTTCTTCCTCTGTCAGTCTGACATTAACCCAAAAATGGGGGGGATCTACACCTTTGAAATGTGGGAAGGAAGGCTGGATGGTTGTAAACAGTCTGTTCTCTTTAGTCAGTATAACGAGGTTGCCACATTTGCTTGGATTTGACCCAGTTTGCTCTTCTGTAAAAATGTTTATTTAAACAGATTTGTTTAAAAATATTTTAAAACATTGCTTTTTGAATGCCAGAGTTAAAAAGTCACAAAAACTTTTCTGAAGACTGTTTGAAAGACCTTTATGGAAAAAGGCACTTGAAGCAAGGCAATGGGGCTGGAGAGCACAGTGGCTGAGAGGAGGCAGTGGCAGGGAGACTGCTCAGAGGTCAGTGAGAAAAAACTTCAAAGCAGCTGCTAGAAGAGGATGTTTTTGAAATCACTGTTGATCTCTGCTCTCTGTTGCTTTTTATTTTCTTCTTGTTATTCTTTTAGTAAACTATGGAGCCGGACATAAAAGTGAATGAACATTTTAAAACCCAGTTTAAGGCTTATCAAGAACAGCGGCAAAGGCGGTTGCAAAACCTAATGGAGAGGAAGAAGGGAAAACAGAACAGTCAGAAGGGTGATAATGGCACTGCAAAGGAAACTTTTGGAATCCCAAATGATCTAAACCTGTTTGAAACAAGACAACCTGTAAATGAAGATGACAGCAAAAGGTAAAGGTGTAGCAGTACCGTTCCTTCAGGAGGCCACAGAAGTGTATTTTGCATGTGATCGTATGAAACATACTGACAGAGCACTTTCTGTCTTCACCTATTGGGCTTTCATTATCCCGAGAAGAGTCTCACTGTCCCTAATATGTTTATCCTCAGAGTGTTGGGATGTGATCTTTATTATCAGTGTTTCACAGATGAAGAGCAGAAGAACAAAGGGGTTAAGGGTGACATGCTAGGGGCAGCTAGGTCCTATCTGATGAAATTCAGTCATTTGGATTGCTAACATCCTTTGAGCCTTGTAAACAAACAGGTTCCCTATGTGAATAATTTCCAAAGACAGATGAGGGCAAAGCAACTAATGGGTGCAAGCCAAAGTCCTGAGGTGCAGAAAAGTGTTCCCCTATCTTTGCAATGTAACCTGATTTAGTAGCTCAAAAGACAGCCAGCTATATAGGAGGGCCTCATAGACAGAGGTGCTTCCTGGGTAAGATACTTGACAGAGTTATACAAGGTAGGGTTTTAAGTCTTACTGGGGACAGGGGTTTGGGTCTTACCTCACCCTCTGGGTAGTGTCTGGACACCGGACATTCTTGTGTGGATCTCCCTTGATCTTGTTTTTGGAGCTGAGCGCATAATTCGTTTTACTGGAGCAGAGATTTGAAACCTCAGCTCAGATCATTCCATCTTCCTCCAAGGAGAGAGTACGTCTCTCTTTCTGACCCAATTATTATTTTTTTTTACGAACTAGAACAGATCTGAAGTTGGACACACCCTACTACGGTCTTGACTATTGAGGGATTGTCTCTGTGTTAGCGGTGAGGCCAGCTGAAGAAATTGCTGCTTCTGCTCCCCACTTGCAATTGTGCTGATAAAACCGATTGCTGGAAACTGGATTCACTTTCTGGGGCAAGGGTACTCTTATCTCAAGTCATTTCAGTGATCCATTTTACAGCTTTAGCCCCACAGACTGTTTTATTGGCACCATGATGTGGTGATGTACTGTGATACAGGGACAGGAAGAGGTAGCTGGCAGCTCTGCCAAACACAGCAGATCACGGGTGGAAACCCACAATTAGGCATATACCTTTGAGACAGTTTCATCTCCCAGAGTCTGTAGTGGGGAAGGGCACCTCTACCAAAGTTTATCAAGCCACTAACCAGGGTTTTATTAGGCTGTAAATGCCGATCCTCCTTCTGTGTTACTCTGGGCAACTCCCTGCTCAGCTTGTTTCTGAAGATTGCTTCCTTAAACACCCAAGTGCATATGCTGCAGTAGAATTTCTGTGAAGATGCAGGGAACCCAGGAGTAAACCACTGAAACTTTCAGGTGCTTCTGGGAATGTGGTGTGTTCATGCTGCAAAGGAAGTCTGGGTGGAAACTAGGAGCTGACCTTCTAGAAACTAATGCTCTCACCACTTCATTGTACATTGTCATCTTCACATTAGATCCCTCACTGTGACTGTCTGATTTGCCAAGTTGTGCTTCTGATCTGATGTCTACCAGCTGTCCTCTTCCCTTCAACACTTTGTACTGATATATAGAAGATCTGATTTTTATTTTTTTTTAATGGAGAGGGAGACTGATTCCCATAGTTCAGATGTAAGTTAGTCTGGTGGAGGAGAGGGGCTTGGGTGTTCCCATAACACATGGTACAGTGTGCATACTCTGAGGTGTGGAGCACAGGAGAGTCCCAGAAGTTTTCTGCTATTTACAGTTCAGTAGTTTACATCTGAATAGTTCAAGAGCTATTACCTCCATTTTCAGTGGCACTGACTGTGGAAATTCCCCATTTGATATGGCAGGTGTAGCAGATTTCTCTGGATTGTCCCTTGCTTATGCAGCAAAAGAGTGGTTATAAGTGTATCAAATCCAGGCAGGATTTGCTTCTGGAAGGGATTCACCAGGATGTACTTTGCAGTATTCCCGTGACACCATATGAGAAACTTGTTCCAGAATAGCAGGACTCCATATGGTCTGCAGTGGCAGTGATTTCAGCACAGCAGTGTTGTTTATAGAGGCGCTTGGAAGACATTCTCCTCTCAGATATCTCCCTCTGAGCCTTGGGAGTTCTTTTTTCCTTCTTCCCATCCTGCCCCCAAGTTTTGTTTAGGTGACTTTAGCTGACATTTTGTCTTTTTGGTTTGTTCTTTCTGTAACTTTATCCTCCCTGCTCTCTTTGGTGTATTTAAGATTAAATGATTCTCCACATCACACAGAGAATCTGTAAAAGAGTGAGGAAAGACACTTGGCCTGAATTTTAGTCATAGGCCCTGCTCATAAGCCTCACCTGGCTGTTTTCTTGAACTAGAGTGAAAAGGGTTACCTTTCTACCCCCTGTTTCTTTTGGCTGACTTTCCATAGCTGAGCCACTTGGGTAGAACCTGCTACCTCCTTTGTAACACATAGAGTCGCTCTGGAATGGGGTGGAGAAGTTTCTCAGAGGAGACTCCAGCTCTGTACAGTTGAGCTTTCTGTCTGTCCTACTGTGAATGCTTTTTATCAAGACTTGGAAACCATCTCTGAGGAAGACATTGCTGGATTGGGTGTGTTAAGAGCTTAGAACCCTTCTTTCATGTTAATTCCGTAGCTGTTAAAAATCTTTTTGTCCACGTGTCTCAAATTAGATCTGCATAGTCTTGTTGCTCACTTCTGAGTGGTACATGTGGGAATAACTTAGTTTTGCCTTTTCCCTGCTCAGATTGTTGCTTGCTTCCTTCTCCTTTGTAAACAGCTGCCTTTGATCTTCCTTTCATTTGAAGCTTTGAAACAGAAGTGCGTTTCTTAATTATAGATTGTGAATCACGTCATATATTGACTGTTGTTTATGGCAGTGTTCGAACACGTACATATGGAGTACAAGCCAAAAAAAAGCTTGCTAAAACGTTTGAATAGAAAAGATTTAGGTGACTATTGTGATAACTGACTTGTCTGGCTGTGGACATGTCTGTAGCCATAGGTATATACTGTAACAACTGGGCTTTATCCAAATCTCTATAATTATCCAAGTTACCTACTTCTGTTGTAGTCTGGAGCAATCACTCTATAGGCCAAAGGGGTGGGAAACTATTCCAGACTAAGCCACCAAAATGTAGATATTCAGGATTACACTGTAGATAATAACAGTCTAGGGATCAATTCATCTGACTGAGTTGGGTGTCTAGGGATACCTGAGATGCCTTAGGGTATCAGGAACTTCCACATGGGAATGATGGGACACACAGGAGATCTGCAGCAGCAGCTGGGGGACAGGTAGGCAGTCCAAATGGCACCTGTGCGTGGGTAACTAAATTGAGTCCCCTCATCAGCACACTCAGTGGAAATTAGGGAGTGATTTGCATTGCCCTACGGTGGCAGCTAGTCTGTAGGCAGCACTGGTTGTATAGACTAGACCTTTGACTTTTGTGTGCGTTTTGGCACAGAGGGACGCCTGTGTCTTGGTATGGAGTGGGACCCCACCCTGAAACTCAGATGGGGAGAGATGAGGAATCTCAGAGGCAGGCAGAATGGGAACCACTGACTTGAGCCAGCAGAGTCTCTACTCTAAACATTCTTACCAAAGGCAGTGTCAGTACAGCTTCTCTTAGCACATTTGGTTTCCCCTTTGGGGAATAGAGACAGTTTCATTGCTATTCTGAAATGCTGCTGTCCAGAGGAAACTGGCTAAAAAGTATGCCTAAAGTTGGAGGTTGTTAGTAATTCTTGGGGTTGGCTCATATGTCCACATGTGTGGCAAGTACTCTCTGAGATGCTCTCAATTCTCTGACTGGGTCCCAGAAGTTTTCCCAGAATCCCTACATTGTGGCTGCTGGCCTCACATAGGAAGATCAGATAATCCTGGGGCATCTCAAATAGATGCCTGAGTGCCCACAATTGAATTGAGCCCCTGAGGCCTTAGCTTCTAGTTTTTACATTTGGAGAAACCACCATGTAAGGACAGCAAAGAGATTAAAGTTATTAATGATCTGAAAGTCTTAGATGAAACCCTTAAATGTTACTAAATGTACTGCAGAATAGGAGAAGCAAGGCTATTTCCTCCTGTTCAGAGGGCTTTTTTTATATTCTTTGTTTCTAAATGAATTCCAAAAAGCAACATTAACAATACAAACCGAAGCCAGTCTATCCTGATGGGGTTCCAAGAAAATCAGATGAGGACAGAGGAAATTGGTCTTTTGTGAATTGCTGTGAAGCATTCGCTTTTAAAGAAAGAGCCTCAGTAGCTGCTTTTGTAGCTTGTTGGCTTCTATTAGTTTCAGTAAATATAGAAAGCAAAGCCTGAATGTCATGGATGCTGAATGGTGAGTCTGCCCAGTTTACTCTGGAGAACCATATAAGTGAGACTGAGTGAGGTGAGACTATTGAGTAACCTCAAGAGCACTGGAAAGATACCTGTTATGTGATGCACAAGGAAGTGCAGATTTTTTTTAAGTAGTTAACTGAATAGATCAGATCATCAGTTTGTGTTGTGATCTGAGGTTTAGGATATTCTACTTAATTCAGTAAACTCAGTCCTGGTAAGCTCAGCTCACCTAGCATACAGTCATTTCATTGTTTTATTTCTGGGAGCATCTATTCGAAGCACATTACAGTGACATTTGCCATTATGGCTTATTTTTTCCCAGGTTGCTTGAGGATCAGCTTCGAGAGGTCCGAGATGAGAACTGCAGACTATACAAACTGGTGACAGAGAAAGATTTTGAAATAAAGCAACTTCAGAAAAAATTACAGGAGGACAGATTGGCTTTGTCGGGTAAACACATTAACTTTGTATTCTCACTGTGTTAGTTCTAGTGTTTGCTTGTTGTGGTTGCCTCCATTTCCACTCCTGTAATAAGCTTCTTCTAGGAAGAATCAAAATTCAGCTCTCAGCTGAGAGACTTGTTCTCTGTTGAGCTTGCAGTAATTTGCAATAGCACTGAAACCACTTAGCTCTGACCTTTGAAAATACTTAGACACCAGAGTATAGATTTAGTCAACACTTATACCTAAACTTGCAAGGATCTAAGTTGACACTGTTTGACATTTGCAGGGTTTACTAAACATTGAAGTCTCCCTCATGTAAGGAGGGAGATTTCGTTTCTTTATGTGCAGAGGGAAGTTCCTCGCAGTAGTTTGACATGATAGCATATATGAAATAAAATGGCATATGTGCTTAAAGATATGTGTCTTACTCTCTCCTTCAGTTTTCTGAGCTGCAAAATATGAATACTGCTACTCCCCATCTGAGAGAGCTATTGAAAGGGCCAAATGACTTCTGGTAGTCAGACAGATCAGTCCTAAGGTGCAAAATGTCATTACTAATAATTATATGTCCCTTAAAAGAAGTACAGCACTCTTTTGGGGCACACGATGATCTCTGTTCCTCACAGGTTTTCTGCAAACCAGTTATTGTTGGCATTAAAAAATTATGATTCATATAAATCATATTTTGGAAAACTTCCTGTTAATGTCAAAAAGCAGTGTTGCAGCTTTCTCTGCTATGCAGTGTTAAATTCCTTATTCGGGCTCCTTTAGTTTGCCTGAATGGGGCACATGTGGGATGCTGGCCGAACATGAAGTCCAGCTTCTGAAGTGGCTTGGGTGTCCTTTGAAAACTGAGCTGTGCAGGCTGCACCTCCTCCACTGGGTGCCACTGTTGTTCAGGACAGCTGTGATGACCAGGCTAGTAGAGAAAGGGGAAACCAGCGATAAGCAGAACTAAATAACACTTAAATTACACCTTAATTCTTAAAAACTATCTGTAGTTTGTATGTAGGAGAGGTGATAAGCTATTACTGGGTCAGGACCAAGAGCCAGATGTGCTGTTGCAGCTTCTCTGTCCAACTCGTAGTTTGTCCCATGCTTCTGTCTTCCCTATCTCCACTGTGGCAAGAAGCTCACCGACATTGCATAGAATTAAAAGCTTTGATTAAATGCATGCAGTGCATTTGAAGACCAGTATCAGCCTGGCTTTTGGTTAGTTTAGTACTGACTGTGATCATTAGTAGCCATTATTTATCACGAAAACTAAGGAAAAAGTAGCTTCTAGATGAGAGTGGAAACACAAATCAGATAAAAGAGGAAGAACAATGGAAATACTTTTTAAAATAATAAATTTATGTCCTCTGCAAGGTTTTTAAATAGTGATATAGGGTCATATTCTGTTCTCAGCTATATTCTGCATAGCCCCTTTAATGTCTCTGGGGATTTTATGGGACTCAAAATTCACTTAAGGTTGATCTGTCATCCTTGCATCTCGCCCTGGTTCTTGAATATAATCTTCATGGATGTTGGTAGAAAAGTCATTACTCCAGAGCACTGAAGGAGGATGAAAGAATTAAGAATGACAACATTCAAGTTCAATTTTCATATATCCCACGGAGGATTTGTTATTGCAGGCTTGTGTTCATTGCTGCGCTAGAAGTTTCTGTGGACTTTGTATGCAATCATATTGATTTTGCACTTGGTGCAAGAACTTTTCTTCACCTATGTGGTGTTAACAAAAGCCAAGTGACACACAAGCCAGTCCTGGGGATTACTTTATTCATGACTCTAATCAGACCCTCTCTGACGAGGTGAATGAAGTATCTGTTTAAAAGAGCAATTAAAAATAATGCGGTAAGGCTCCATTTATAATCTCAAGGGACATATAAATAGGTACAATGATATTTCCTGGACATTATCCAGGACCCAACTGTAATAGGGTGGCTGACCTTTTAGGACAGATGCCTAGAAAAGTTCATGCCTCTGTTTCAGCAGCTCCTTCAGTAGCAAACAACCCGCGCAAAATAGTGTTGTCTTTTTCTGTAATATGCCACAAAAAAAAGCATCCATAACTACCCTTCACAGCAGTGAGCAGAAAACACTTCTACCCTTTATATGTAGGAATGTTGCTATGACCACTGTTGTGGCCTTCTGACATGTGGCTGTTGCTAAAGTGTGAAATGTATCTTTGCTAGCCACAATGTGATGCTGACACAAAGGACCAAGCAATCTAGCTGGAATCACTGATGCCTCTTTTCCCTCATTCGTTCCTTTAAGTGCCTGGAACAGCTCTGAGAGAAATGGGTTAGACAATAAAAGTACATTGTGCATTGAACAGAGAACAAAAGCATCATCTATTCTGAATCTTGCCTGTAAGATACGTCCTTTGATTTTATGTATGCTTTTCAGGGATGTCTGGTTTAGCTGGAGATGTTGCAGCTACGAAAATAGTTGAATTGGCCAAAAAGAATCGTGAGATAACTGCCGAGACTGAGAGTGAAAAAACCAAAGTGAAGCAACTGAATAACAGAGTTAAAGAGCTGGAGAGAGAAGTGAGGCATTTTTCTTGTTCTCTTTTTGCATGCTAAACATAGAAATCCAGCCATTGGGATAGAGGAGTTGTAGAAACTGGGTTTGATTCATGTTCCCATCTTGAATTTGCTCTTATATCCATGCTTGCTTTGAGTTCTTGTAACTTCTGTCCATGACAGGAGAGAGGGATGTATGCCCTCAGCTGTTTTCACCTTTGCAGAAAGGAAGAGCTAGAGAATAATATCCATAAGTTATAATGAGACAAAGATTTATGAAATACCAATTAGCAATGCTCAGTTATATTTGAAGCACAGAGGCTTTTCTAGCAGTATGGCAATGATATTTTTCTGATTTTTTTTTTCTTTTTTTTTTTTTGTGAGGAGGAGCAAATTTCATACCATTGTCTTACATTCTCACCTCGTTAATACCAGTCAAGAATTCTATTCCTCTATTCTTCTAAGCTTTATTCATCCAAATAATAAAAGCTGTTTTCTGGCATAAGTACTTACACAGTTCTATATCACATAAGATAGCAAATATTCTTGTAGGTGAATATTCTTGTAGGTGAATTAATTTTTCTGGTTTAGTATGAATTTTTTATATGTGCTAAACTTTCACAGGAATAATTTTACTCTGGTGACTATTGAAATGAAAATTAGATGCCCCGATATCAATGTTTACTTTGTTCACTGGCTACTAGTTCTCTTCCTTACACAACACTGGTAAAATTTTGGATAACTTTTAATGCTTTTGTCTGCACTTTGTTTCCTTAGAAGATATCATTTAAATGATTCAGTAATGTTTATCATGCTGACAAATGCATTTTGACTCTATCTTTTACAATCACTTATTATCATGAATCATGCATCTGTCTGAATTATACTCTAGTTACCTGAAAGATCAAGAAATGGCACATTAAAATTTTGAAAACTCCTGCATAAATCCAGAGTGTTCTGGTCAGACGGGTCTTGTCAAGCAGTTGTCAGGCTGGCTAAGAAATCTCAAGTGTAACTGGGGACCCACAAATTCACACAAGTAAGGGAGCAAGCTGAGAGTAATTTCAAGAGGAATCAACTTGCTTGTAATCCCTTACTGCAGAGGTGTAATGACCGTTATTCAAACAGAAACTTAAAATATTGTTAGATATTGACCCAAAAGAAAGGACCACAGACATTTCAGGAAAGGAAATGGAGCTCAAAGAGAACAGAAATTTTCAAGAAACAATAATTGATGGTCAAAGCACAGATGGACACTTTGGATGTGATTTGAGCTGTCCTTAGACACCAGCACCATCAAAATCAAAACGGAACACAGCAACCTGTTTCAGATGAGGTAAAGACCAACCACAGCGTGAACCCCACTGAAACCGTGCCCTGGTCAATGGTCTGTATTTTCTTACAACCTCATTTGGCGTGGCTCTTCTCTAAACTAATGGTCACTGGCTGAGTTTGTGGATTGTACTTGTTCAGTAGAACTATATGAAGATGTAAAAGATGCATAAAATTAAAGCAATGTTTGACAGTGGGAGGTATCTATGAAAAATGTTGAGTGGTGAAAGAGAAAAGCTGTCTCAGGAACCTGCAGTGATTTGCATCTCTGTAGTAACTCTTACACTAAGCTGGGTCACTCTCTAGACACACTTATCTTTTTCCAATGACTGTACAAAGGACCAAGACAGCTAAAGTGCAATTCAGTTGCCCACGCATAAGCATAAAAGAACAGTCTGAGATCACAGAACGGTCTAGGTTGGAAAAGACCTTGAAGATCATCCAGTCCAACCATCAACCCAACATTAACAGTTCCCAACTACACCATATCCTTAAGGGCTATGTCGACCTGACTCTCAAACATCTCCAGGGATGGGGACTCCCCCCCTGCCCTGGGCAGCCCGTTCCAACACCCAACAGCCCCTTCTGCAAAGAAATCTTTCCTCAGAGCCAGCCTAACCCTGCCCTGGCGCAGCTTGAGGCCGTTCCCTCTGGGCCTGGCGCTGGGTCCTTGGCTCAAGAGACTCATCCCCCCTCTCTGCACCCTCCTGTCAGGGAGTTGCAGAGGGCCAGGAGGTCTCCCCTCAGCCTCCTCTTCTCCAGACTGAACCCCCCCAGTTCCCCCAGCCGCTCCCCAGCAGACCTGTGCTCCAGACCCTGCCCCAGCTCCGTTGCCCTTCTCTGGACACGCTCGAGTCATTCAATGGCCTTTTTGGGGTGAGGGGCCCAAAACTGAACCCACTCATTGAGGGGCAGCATCACCAGGGCCGAGCACAGGGCTCAGATCCCTTCCCTGTCCCTGCTGGCCACGCTGGTGCTGACACAAGCCAGGATGCCATTGGCCTCCTTGGCCCTCTGGGCACACTGCTGGCTCATTATCAATCCCCCCTCAGGTCCCTCTCTGACTGGCAGCTCTCCAGCCACTCCTCCCCAAGCCTGTAGCGCTGCTGGGGGTTGTTGTGGCTCAAGGGCAGCCCCCGGCATTTGCCCTTATGGAAACTCCCCCAGTTGGGCTCAGCCCATGGCTCCAGCCTGCCCAGGTCTCTCTGCAGAGCCTCCCTACCCTCGAGCAGATCAACACTCCCACCCAGCTGGGTGTCATCTGCAAACTGACTGAGGGGGCACTCGATCCCCTTGTCCAGATCATCAATAAAGATGTTGCTTGACCTCTTAGAGATCCCTGAAGGGCTGTTAGACGTGACTAGACTGGCAGTCCTGGTGCAGCAGCTGGACCTGCTGGATACCCTCGGATGCCTCAAAAGGGACCAGACAGCTGTGGGTGGGCAACAAAACCAAGACTACAGTCAGTCCATCTACTTGATGTAATGTAGGTGTCTACAGTAGGGTGAGCCGAAGACTATGCTTCTCTGATTGTATTGACTAGACAGCATTCTTTACAGAGACACCCATGCTGAAAACAAGGAACGTGTTACTTTGTAGGTTGAGTCTCACCCCGTATGCCTACTTTTAGATGCCTTAAACAATGAATTGTGGTGATGGTGCCTTACAAATACATTGCAATACGTACTTTCACCAGTGGAAAACACTTATTTTACAGAATTGTTTGTTCTTTGCTTGTATGAAAACTAAAAAAAATATGTAAATCATAAGTGTTTTAACATGACTATGTTCCCACAAAGAAAATGGAAGGTACAGCCACTGCGCAACTGAGCAAAATCACATGTAAACAAAGACTGCAAATGAATGTTTGCAGAAAATTTCCCTAGAACTTGACCTATCAGCTGCCAACACCAGCTGAAATTTCTCATTCTCAGTCCGTTGACTAAAAGACTTTATGAACTGAAGGGATGACCTAACCATTGGTTTATTTGCAGAGAAGGGGTAACACTAGAGCTGGCTCTGAGTTGCGCTCTGTTTCCCCAGATACCACTTTAATGAAGAAGCTATTCCTTAGAGCCTTCTTTTATTCAGGCAAATAATCAAGATCTTCCACCCACCTCAAAGAATGAAGTCTCAGCCCTTTAAAGCAACAATTCCTGGCCTCACCAGCTCCAAATTCATTGCATTCCTGTCCAGTAAGAAGTCTTAGCAACCTCAACATAGGACATGATTCAGAGCAGGAGGGACTGTATGTCTGCCTTCCTTTGCTGTGGCAAGCAATAGGAGGCATTCTTCATGGGTTGAGAAATGCTACCTCACAGCTACCAGGTAAAGAAAAAGCCTTATTAAATCTACACTATAGGTCATTAGGTAGTCATTTCTCTTAAATTTCTCTGGTGAGTAGAACTATGTGCTTTTTATGAAGTATCCTATGATTTTCTCAAAAAGTGGCATTCAGAATCTAGAGACAGCATCCTGATCTGTACTGAACTGGATTTGCATTTATGTATACAAACACTTATTTTATGAACCTATGGTGATAAAATCCCCCAGAAGTTTCCATACTTGATAACTGGTCTCATCTCAGCAAGTTCAGAGACATTTTCACTGAAGTTATTCCACAGTAAAATAACACATGCTTCTTTGGGAAAAAAATTGTGTGCTTTCCTACTGATTGTGTTTAAAAACAAAGGAACATGAAGTAATTTTTTTTTCTAGAGTAAATAAACATCCAAGATCATCAAAACTGCTATTGTAGCTTTTTGCTAATTAATAATTCATGGAGGTATGCTCTTCACTGTATTCATTCTATAGTAACAATGCGGTTTTTTTTCCAGCTACAGACAGCTGTAGAAAAAATACATTCTCTTGATGGCAGTGATGCAGGAATCAAGAAATCAACTCTGAAGATGATAGAAGGAAACTTGGTATGAACTGTAATTGACAACAGGAAATCAGAAGCTGATACTTAGGTCTCTCCTATTGTGCAGTCTTGTTTGGGTTTTTTTATGACAAGGATGTATCCCTGTCACTAGTTTTGTAACCAAATTGCTCTGTTTGTACCTTCTCTATGACCCCAAAAATTAGGGAAGGCATTTGCATGGGTCTGGGGAAAAAAGATTCGGTGATCCTGATGGATCTGTGGATCTTAATCACTTCAATTTTTCCCTGACAATTCTGTTCTTACCAAGTACATTCTTTTCTTCAAAGGCTGAAAGTCCAAAGGTGAAAGCGTTGCAAGAAAAATTAACCACAGCCAACTTTAAAGTGGTGGAGTATCGTAACCAACTCCAATTTGCAAAACAGGAACTAAAGATGACCCAAAAGGTACTGTTGCAGGGTGCAGTCTGTGGCTGGTATCCTGTGCAAGAGGTATATTCTTGTGAAATCAGGATGCTTCTTTTCTTTTGAGCTTTGATTAGCCTCCATGAAGTATTCCAATGAACTCTTAAGTAGGTAAGAAAAGACACGGGTATAGTGGTTGCTTTGGAAAGATAGGCACATTGACACACAGGTTTCATGTTTTGCCACCAGAGCTGGATGACTGTATCCACTATTTCTACTACTGTGATGGGTACAGATTCTTTAAGGTTTGAAAGTCCCAGTTCAGCAAAATAGGTTTATGATTGATTTGAAGCATACATTCAGGCCCATTCCTCCTTTCCAAAACATTTAATTATGTATTTACTTTTAATGTAGGCTTCAGTCCCATGGAAGTCAATGGGATTAAAGACCACACTTGAACTAAAGCACATATTTAAACAATTTGTTGGAGTGACATCCAGAGTAACCTTTTCCTCTTTGATTCATGATGGATTTTAATGCGTTACTATGTGCTCTCTTTCCTTTGGTTTCATTACTTTGCGTAAGAGACCTGCAATGCAGATCAGAGTAGAGAATATAGTCCTAAAAATAGGACTCTGCTGACCTTTTTATAAATAATTTAAACGCTTTTCATACTAAGTTTAGCCCTCATTAATGTGACTGTCTTGGAATTATGCAAGAGAGATTGGCTCAATTCCTGATTGCAAGGGTTTATATTAAGACAATACTCTGTTCCTGTTTAGTTCTGATTAGTATTCATTATATCAAAAACAATTGTGTATATTGAAAACCATTAGTAATTCTTAGAAATCCTTTTACAAAAGTAGCACAGTTTGACACCCAGCTATATAGTTAGATAGTACAGTTTGACACTCTCCAGACAGGCAGCAAAACACAGATTCGCATTTTTTAAAAAACAAAGACTAATACTCGAACTTATGAAAATACTGAATTACCTACCTCAGCAAGTAAAACCATTCATGTTAGCCAAACTTCTCCTACCCACCAACAATCTGTATTGTAATAATGATCTGAAAGAGCTGAAATCCCATCTGAAATGGGATATTTAATACAGTATGTAACTGTACCATCCAGCGTTTTGTGTTTACTGCTAGAGAGCAGCTTTTTTTCCCCTCTTCCCAATACATGTATTTAAGCCTAGCCTTACTGTTGATGTTAATCCCTTTTTCATAGCTTTTAGCAAATGAAGTTGGTGAAGATGTGAATATTCAGAGTCTCTTGATGAATTCTGGCAGCTGGCGTGGACGAGCCCAGCAAATTCTTGTTCTCCAAAGCAAGGTGAGTTAAGACCCTGCATGGTGCCGTGTAAGCTGGGTGCTGGGGTGTGCTTTCTACGTAGAGGTGTTATGTCAGTTTGAGTTAAGGATACTGTTAGTTCTTCAGTAAGTAATTCTTAACATCTATACCTGCTTATAAGGCATGTCCCAGTAGAAACAGTGTTTACTGCACATACACAGCCAGTCTTTTCTCTGTTGAAGAAAGCAATTGTTAGAATAAAACACTGTATGGTAACTTTTCTAATAGTTTTTTGGTATGTTTGTGTGTGCGGTGTTAAATTTTAAATATGTGTTGATGTGTGCAGGGTCTTTCAGATTTTTTTGCAAACTGTATTGATTAGTCAATTCCAAACATACAAATTTCAGTATTTAAGCTGGGAGTCTTTTGCATCTGTGTCAAAGGAGAGAGTTCAGTGGCCTTGGAGAGCTCTGGCAGCCTAGTTAAAATCCCAGGATGTTCTGAAGGTGCCTGTCTCCACTGAGTACAGAAGGAGCCCTGTCAGTGCCTGTGCTCTGACTTAGACACCTTTGTTCAGTGCCTAAAGTCAGGTGGGAAGAATTGAGGCCAGATAAGATTTTCAAGTTGTTCCCCCAGGAACTTCAGTAGAAATTTTAACTCTCATATCTTCTGAAGGGCACGGTCTATCTGAAACGTCAGCTTGAGACAGGGAGACAGTTTTGTCTGTATCTTAAGTAAAACTTCTTTCAGGCAATTTGATACATATTTTTCCCATTTTTCTGCAGTTTAATTATATGCCAACAAATTGTAATTTTTGCACCCTGATTGACTGAAATTGTTAACCTCTACTTTCCCTTGAACAAACTACATTTTCCTTCAGTTAGACCCCCTGACTGGAATTCATCTGAAGATGGTATGTACTGTACTCTAATGCAGAAATTTCTTCCTGAACCAGTCTCCTTAGGCCCCTTCTGTAGTCAGTGGGGACCTTGTAAATACAGTCACTGGATCAAAAGTGAGGTAGGTGCATCTTAGAAGACACCTCCAGAACAGGGCAGAGGAACTGTGCTGTAGCAGTGCCCATTTCCTTCTACTTACTATAAAAGAAGTCTGTAGTGAATAGCTGAGATGTGGGGACTGAGTTCACTTGATGACACATTGGTGTCTAATGCCAGCCGAGACACCGTAGGGTATCCCTCTGACCTCTGGTCATCTTTCCAGAGGAGTATGGATGTCTTGTAGATCCTGCATCATAACGTGTCTCCAGTATCCCAGTGCTTCTAAACCAGCGCTCGCTACCTGTGTTCAGGCTAGTGCCTTTGATTGTGTACATCCTAGATGGTGATTCTGCTGAAGACTGAGATGCTAAAATGTGTATGTGTGAGTGGGTGTCTGCCCTTCCAGAGGAGATCTAAGGCACTGCTCTGTTGTTCATATGTGTGTTTAGAGGCATTCAAGATGCTTTGGAGTGTCTGCCTGGCCTCCACATGTGGCTCCAATAAGGCACAGATCTCCCATGTGTCCTGAGTCTTCTGTAGGTCTGGTGTCATATTTCCTCCCTGCACAGATGCCCTAGATATCTACATGTCTGTGAGTAGCTAACAAATTTAAATCTGAAAGGACACTGCTCTCTATTAGTTAACCACAATGATGTCAAGAAGAAGTATGATGCTGCACTCTGAGCTCCTCTGATGCTGGACACTTTGGTCCTCTTTGATGCTGGGCCACTGTATTCCTGGTAAAGACTCTGGATGAGTTGTCATTATTGTCCCCTAGGTTCGAGAGCTGGAGAATCAGTTGAGCCAAAACAAGACCAGAACATCACTGACTGAGACTGATGAGGAATTGCTGGCATTTACTGATCCAAGGAAGTTGTCAGCCCAAGAGAAGAACTTGTTGAAGATTCGCAGCTTGGAAAAAGAAAAGAAAGAAACCTTGGGGGTAAAAACCTGTGAGCTGAGAGAGTCCTGTTTGGTCATATAGTGTGTAGTAACTTGCCTTACCTTCTGGGTGTATGTTACACCCTACCCAAAGACCATTTCAGAAACCACCTGATCTGCTGGAGGAAGTTCTGCCACACTTCACAAACTGAGCAAAAGGCTTCCATGCTTGTTGTCTGTATTGCACTGTTACGTGGCCAGACGTACTTCTGCATTACAAGACATGGTCTTCTCTGCTGCATGATTCATGTGTCAGATACATCCACTTGGCCTGAAATGTGGCTACCTGACAACTGTACCTGATAGGTGATGTTGGAAAGAGGGAGAGAGGCCCTGGGTTGCAGTGAAGCTGGTACTGGCTTTATACTGAAGTTACATGCAGAAAGAAACTCTGCTACAGCTACATCCAAGCTCTGTAGCATCCCTCTCATCCTGTGGCCCCAGATGTGCATGCTTCATGCAGTATAAGCATTCCGCTCATACTGAAAATGGGTCTTACCCTCCATCTATATATCACACGTAGTTGCTACAAAAATAAACAGGCATCCAGTGTTTAGGGGTTGAGGGAGGCTATAGCTAGTGGCAAATGTAGTAAACCCTTAAGGATATGTAGGCCTGTGTCCACGAGAAATATGGGTAGTGGGGGTCAGCTACATATATTCTGGTTAGCAAAGCACATCTCCCTGTGCTCCTTCCCTGTATTTGCTTCTGTAGAGGCCACCTGGCATGACCCCAGAGCTCTGCTGCTGCTCTTCCCACCACCATTTAGTTGTGCAACAGAATGAGCAACGGGGTGATCCAAACCTTTCAGTCTTGGCTGTGAGAATGAAAGAGAAGATTTATAGCTACAGGCACACATCACAGGGAAGGCTTTTCTCAGTGACTATAATGCACTTCTGCCTTGTGTTTCAGGCTCCATTCACAGTAACTTCCCCTGCACTTATCCATTACTACTTAACTGCTAGCATGCTCTAGCAGTTTCATCTAGGTGAAGGCATGGCTCAGGGGGAGCATATGCCAAGGACAGCTTCTAGCAGGTAGTATGGCATCACCACCCTGTATCTGGAAGGAAGAGAGTTCCTCCATGGAGAATGGTGAGGCATATAAAAAAGCAGGAGCATAGAGAATTAAGCTTTTTAACACAAAATTATCATTTGCCTCCTGGCACATACTGGGTCAGCCTGGTCCACTTGTATTCCTGAGCAGACAGACCTTTTTCTGATGCTAGCAGGTAGGCAGTGAGTAGTAGCATTTATAATTTTTACTTACTCGGGAATGATACAGTATGTCAGTTCCATTTTTTAGGTTCTACCAGGCAGTGTGTGATTCCTTTAGCTCACCAAAGCACCAGGGGCTTGGTGATAGGCTGTAACTGTAATTTCCTATGATGTGTTTGCATCACTGCAGAAACTCGCTGGGGAATATGATTCTCTCCAAAAAAGTCATGAGGAAGTGAAAAAAAAACTTGATGCATCAAAAGCCAGGAACAAAATCTTGTGCAGTGAAGTGAAAATTCTGAAGGAACAGATCATAACCTTGCTGGAGAAAGGAAAACACGACGATGAGCTCATAGATGCCTTGCTGGTATGGTCTGACTCTTACTGTTGGTCCCAGCCCCTGCAGATCAGGCCTTTTTCGTTAAGTGATGAAACATGATGTCATTTAATTACACAGTGACACAGACAGGGTATACAGGGGCCTGATGAATCCAACTGTGACAACCAGAAGTTTCCTAGTCAGCTAAAGCCCATCATTTTGGGTCAGGTCATGTAAAGACTGCAAGACAAGCACCAGCCGTGACACAGATGCAGTCAAGTGGCTCTAAGCTGCAAATATGGGAAGAAATGTTTTGCAGAAGAGTTGAAATAGGATTGTCTAGTAGGTAGAGGAAGGGCTTCATTCCTGACCCATGAGGCTGGAGAGTGTTCTGCTTTCAGCTCCATTGGTAGGTTTTTTTCCTTAGAATGCCCCCAATCTTTCATTTTCATTTCTTGTGTTACACAGCCCACAACACACAAGCTGAATCATGAATACTTAAACCATGTGCGTGTTCACCTGAAATAGCTGGAGCTGAGAGGGTTTGGCCCCTTCAAAACCAAGACTATTAGCAGAGACTCAGGATGCAGTTATGCTAAAATAAATGGCTGCTGCCATGGTCTTGCAGGATCCTTTTGCCTAGTCTTACCCAATTACAATAGTAAAAAAAAAAAAAAAAAATTAGAAAATATGCCCCTTCTTAGTAGGGTTAGTTCTGTGTTTCCTGATCCAGCTCCTCCTGAGTTTCAAATCACTTGCATTTCCTTGCTTCTGTACATAGGTTTTAGCTAAGACATGCTTATGACTAAGCTGGCATTCACCTTTCTGCATAGGGAATATGGGTGCCGACCAGCAGACTAAGTAGATTGCAGAGGAGCCAAATAACAGTTGTGACTTTTGCTAAGTCTCAGCGTTCTCACTAAAATTATTATGGAAAGGTGCAAGTTTATTTGGGAAGGAATGGTTAACTTGTTTTATCCCTTACATCAAAGAAGCACCTTACTTGCAGTTTGTTGGATTGACAACGAACTGTCCAACAAATATTTGATTCATCAGTGTGAGAAAAACTCCAAAGCCCACTGGTAAAACAGCCTAGCCTCATAGCTGTTGTCTCATACAACCCTCATCTTTTAATGTCACTATCACACAATCTGATCATGTTCTAATTTCACACAAAAGCAAACTGAAATCTTTACTTTTATCCAGTTTATGAAAGTCACCTTCTTTGTCAAAGGCCAGCCGGTTTTGGTCTCTTTTCTGTTACACTCAGGAGCAAAGCTGCCAGCAAACTGAATCTTTCAGTTGCTCAGGTCTTTTCTACTTGCACCATCCAGTTGCTGTAGTCTTGATATGATGCACAGGGACCAGTGGGGACAGACTGTCCTTACTCAGCTGCATTGCAAGCACATGTGCTGTGCAGTCCTTTCAAGGGATAAATGCTGAGAACAAGACAAGGTGATCTCATACTTAAAACATAAAAGATCAAATTCTTGGAGTAGCGCTAGTGATATCTGTGGGCTTACCTCAAGGAATGGGTTTGGCAGGACAGTGGCTTGCCCTAGCATACCTAAATGGGTGTTTATTAAGGGAGACTTAATAATCATTGTGTACAAATGTGAAGGTCTCACTCATTGTTTCTATTTTATCAGATCCAACAGAAGCAAATGCAGGAGATTTTAAAGGACCTGAGCCAGAAGGATGAGAAGAACAAGGAGTCCCAGCAGATGTTAGGGCAGCTCTTGTATAGTGAGGTTCCGAAACAAAACTGCCTTATAGAGCAGCTCAGACAGATGGTGATTGAACGAGAAGCAAAGGTTAAAGAGCTGGAAGAGGAGATTGAGCAACTCACACTTCAGGTAGACAGAAGAAATTAGCTAGAGGAGCACCCTTTGTAATCATTTTAGATCTGCTCTTCCACTTTCTTTTCTCTTGCTCTTTGAGATGATTGCTAGCTTGAGACTTCAATACCTGCCCTAATGACAGTCTCTCCCGATGGAATGATAAAGCAAGAATTCTCTCGTGTGACTCTTAAATTTCTTTCCTGTTTCTATGTAACTTCTCTTCAAGCTGTTTAAGCAACAAAAAACATAGAAATACCAGTCACATCCACATGTGGCTTTGTGCCAAGACTGTGCCATATGGCCAATAGCAAGGGCTGGGCTGGGCTGCAAAAGGGACTTATCAGTATTCAGCATCCTTGGCTGCTGAAGGAGGCAAGCAAGCCAACATAGATGAGGCCAACACCAGTAGGCTGCCATGGTACCCAGCTACATCTCTTCATGGAGTGATGGGACCCCAGTAAGTTATTCTCATCTCTCCCTGTAAACTACTTCAAAACCTTCCTGTCCCTCAGATCTCCAAGCTATTGATAGGACGTATGGGAATTTCATTGTACAGATGAAAGAACTGGGAAAGTTGGCCCCTTATGGACTAATATGTTAAAAAAGTTTTCAACTTCTATGGTCTAGTGTTGTAAACTGACAGAGGCAGGGTGGTACTATGGCCAGAGTACATTGTTGAGAGGCAGTCCACTAACCTGCCAAAGGCTTCTCCTGTGGTCTGGTATCTTACAGTCAGGCTTTGTTAGAGTATTTAGACATCCAATTTCCTTTGATATAAAACCCTCATGTGGTTATGGTGAGACTGTGAATCAGTCATGGGCACTAGAGCATTGATTCCAAGATAAAACTTGGGTTAGGGACACAGACCAACCTTGCTGGTACTGGTAGTTGTGGTGCTGCACTGTGGATTCTCTAGTGACACTCTTTGCACCCTATTATTTCATATGAAACTGCACTTTTTACTGACTTTTGCTTTGTTTCCACCCTGCGATGGATAGAAACTGAAGAAAAGTTTCTGAGAAGGTCGGGTAAATCAAAAGTTCTGGCATGCTTGTAGCATTACTGATAAGCTGCTGATTAGGCTTTGATGCAGCTATTTTCCTTTGAATTGTGTAATTGGTTTTATAACCTGCTCCAACATTAACAGGAGAAATCTGCCCATCAGGGGGACAGTTCAGGAGCTGCTGATAAACCATCTTCTCAGCATTTGGAAGATCCAGGTTTTACTCTGTTTAAGCCTCTAACATCAGGCAGCAATCAGGTTGGAAAGATTGGATCTGCTTGGTAAGACAACACTAACATCAATGCGTAAAATTCTTGTGAGTTATTCAGAAGCATGGTTTTCCCAGACAATTGTATCAAACCACAAGTGCTGTGTGCCAAGCTGTGGAAAGCCTGTTTACAGTATATGGGAATCTCTAATCACGTTATCTCTTGGACTTTTGTCCTGAAGCAGAGAAAGATATGCAGACTTGCAGACATTGCTACTTCTGGCACAATGGTAGTGCAGCTAATTTTCTTTCTCCAGCTCAGATAATGTTTATGTGGTTAGCTTAAGTGCCTGTAATTCTCTCTTATAAGAAACAGGGCTTCTAATGAGCAGACTTCTGAGAGTAGGGTGGGGAATTAATACAAAATGCCATTTTAGGCAAGCACTGATTCACCGGTGCATTATTTAAATCAATAAATACGTTTTGAGTAGGATTTCCTTGCAGAAATGTTGAAAACACACCACATCATTTGTTCTTAACAAACACCCTTTTTAAAGCCTCACTGAGGACCATGTAAATTACACTGATCTTAAAACAGCAGTAAATCTGATTCTTGTAACTCTGGGTCACTCTGGCTGTGTAAAGGCACCATAATACCAGAGCAAGTTACATCCTTTCCTGTTAAATGCTGGTTTTGTTGCTAAAGAGTTCATGGTTTAATAGACAATAAGAAGTTGAGACTGGTCTTCTGAGGAAGGAGGAAATTTCTCATCAAGTTAAAGTTTCAACTGATTTCTTCTATGTAGTTTTAACTCACCTACAACATTACTTTAGACATTAAATTTGGCTTTTAAATTGTTAGATATATCCCTGAGTCTAAGTATTTTCTTAGGCTGCAGGTAAAAAATCTACAAAATTTAAGAAAAGTTCTTCTCAATGTTTCTGAGTTAGAGTTAAAACATCCTTAATTTGGAAGTTGCCACATCTCGTTATACCCTTGTGACTGACTATTCTCACACTTCTAACTGCAGAAGTTGTGCTGTTGTGGAGCAAATCTATATTTTATCCAGTTTTTTACTTCATATGTCTGCTGATGGTAAGCAGGAAAGCAAGCAGGAAAATGAGGTTGGGTAATGGCTTTGTAGAAACCACTAAGTGTAATGTGTAATTTATTGCTTGTGTGCATGGCTACCATGAAAATAGCTGACATGTCAGCTGGGCACCGAATGAGTCTGAAAACTGCAAGAGCCATTAATAACTTGGTCAGCAGGGCTCACTCATTCCGCTAACTTTAATATGCTGATGAACTCTCTATTCCATTTTACTTCAGTGAATCATCTTTTCCTATCAGGAAAGATGAAATGAAAAATGCTATAAATAGGAAGTAAAGCCCCTTGGAGGTGTTGAAGTAAAAATCCACATTGTTAGACTGGGCCACTTCTGTCATTATCAGCCTTAACTTGATTTTTAGGATTAAGCACTCCTAGCCTAGAAGGCAGCTCTACCTGTTCCACAATATTAAGGCTTTATCATCTGTTAGCTTCAGCCTAAAAACAGGGAAACATGGGCTAAGTCTACAGGGACTTGCCTTTAGGTAGCTGAGCTCAAATTTGGAAAACAAACACACTAGAATTTTATGTCCCAAGCACACATATCATTATGCATAAAACTCATTCAGGCTGGAAGTAATACTCTAGTGTTTTCAGTGACTCCTCCTCTTACAAGCCTGACAGATCTTCCTGAGGGCGTCCACAAAGTAGAATGATTCAGAAAACTATGTGAAGTATATTTTTAAAGGGCATTTGGAAATGTGCACCTTGTTGCAGAACAGGGGTTCTGTTGGTTATGAAAGCATGCAACATGCAAACACCATCAAACAAGCACATTACCCTGTGCTTGTCTCTCACCCGGGGGGGTGAAGGTGTAAGATGAGAGTGCTCAGGGCAGTGCCTGCAAGGAAACAGAGCAGCAGTGGCTGCTTGTGTGGCTGCATGCTCCTATTGAGCCAAGCAGGCTCAAGAGCTATTCCTGCTCTGGAGTTTCTGTGTGGCAACTCTGGCGCTCCACGGTGCTGGTCTGGAGTGTCAGCAAAATATCCCCAGAAGCGCAGAGATCAAACACTGAGCTGTAGTTGTTGTACACTGGAGACACAAGGTATTTTTGCAGCATGTTTCGGAGTCAGGGAGCAAGCTGAGCTATGCAGAGCCTGTGTGATACCCTCTTAGGAGGCTCTGGGAGTCTTTGCCCTACGAGGCAGCAGTAACCAGACGTTGGAAGATGACTGGAATTCTTGGAGGACTGCCTTCTGCTCAGTGCCTAACAAAGATTTCTTCCTCTCAGCAAGGTGTCCAAGATGGGTCATACACTTGTAGAGTTGGCAGCTGCTGAGCCTTCCTTTTTCAGTAATAACATCACACCTGGAAGGAATGTATATAAACATCATAAACAAGGGAAGTTTCCTGCCATGCTCCGCATGCTGCTGGCAAGCCTTATCCTCATCTGCCTTGTTTCTGTAACAAAGAGCTGCTTTCACCGTCCTTCCTACCTGATACTGTGACAGAGCTCTAACACAGGCTCTAGCGTCTTCATGCTATGTTAATTTTTTAATTGATTGCTAGTTTTACACCCTATAAATCCCATTTTTCCCTTTTGACCCCCAACCATGAAGATTTCTTCTGCATTTTGCTCTAAAGAAGATATTCCTGAATACTCCTCTGTGGAGAGGTTGGGGAAGTAATGAAGTATGTAATAATGGGAAAACTGCCCCTTCCTTTCATCACATATTAGGCACAAGAAAGGCCATTGTACTAATGCTGCCTGAAGCATTTCAGTGGGAGAAAATCAATAGCATACCATTTAATAGCTTAGCATAGCACTTCGGAGAATCCACATACACATTTTTTTTTTTACTTTGGCAGCAGCAATGAGAAGAGAGTCAGTGATCGTGAATTGTCAGAGGTAGAAGTTTGTTTTCAGGGGTGATGGGAAGGGAAAGCATGCTTGTGATGGAAAAGACCTTTCTAATGAAACTCACACTTTATTTCTAAATATTTCTGTTCCGTTTATTGCAGTATAGAGATTGCTGCTGGGGGGAGATAGTGAGCCTGGCTCTGCATTCTGGCTTAGTGTTCAGACAAGTGTATTTTGATATGTTTTTCAAATCCTGTCTTTGTTTCATTTCTTTCATTTGTGAAATGGGAAACAGACCCTCTATGCTTCTGTTGCTTTTAGGGTTGCTGGCACTGACAGCCCGGATTTGAAAGTGCTGCAGACACAGATCACAGAGCACAAGGCTCTCTGCCAGGCTGCTGAAGTGGAAAGAGACAGGCTCCTGGAACTGGTCACTGTGCTGCAGAAAAGGTAGCGGGTGATTCTGCCAGTATCCTTTGTGGGATGCTGCGATTAAGGAGTGCTTGAGACGCGTGAGAGTCTGTAGCACGCAGTGTAGTACGCCATACACTGCCAGTGTGAGCCTTTCCTTAAATAGGGGCTTTTAAATTTTTTCTGCTCGATTTCCCTGCCTAGTTGATGATTCATTTTTTTTTATTATTCTTTTAGAACAAAGGACAGAAAAAATGGAGTCATCTTCAAGCTTGCTACACCTACATAATACTATAATTCATGTATTTATATGTGTGGTGTTATTTAGGCAGCAATATTATTAATCGGTAGTAAATACTGTAATTATAGCTATAATCTGACTTCTGTTCCAAAAGCTTTTCACATTCTTTTAAGTTTCACTGTATCCTCTTTTAAATTAATTTCTTCTGGTTTAACTGAAGCATGGTGGTGATTTTTTTTTCTATTATTCAGTTCAATTTAAGATTATGTTAAAAGCCAGCTATGTTTTAGGGCAGGGGAAACAAAGTCTTTTCTCTTTAGATAACTTTTATCTACTGCTTTTTTTATTTCACAGTTAGAGAATGTATATGGAGCACCCCCCTGGAGGACAGGCTGAGAGAGTTGGGGGGTTCAGCTGGAGAAGAGAAGGCTCCGGGGAGACCTTAGAGCGGCCTCCCAGGGCTGAAAGGGGCTGCAGGAAAGGGGGGAGGGACTCTTGATTGGAGAGTGTAGGGATAGGATGAGAGGTAACGGTTTTAAACTGGAAGAAGGGAGATTTAGATCAGATATTAGGAAGAAATTCTTCCCTGTGAGGGTGGTGGGACACTGGCACAGGTTGCCCAGAGCAGCTGTGGCTGCCCCCTCCCTGGAAGGGTTCAAGGCCAGGTTGGACGGGGCTTTGGGCAACCTGGGCTAGGGGAAGGTGTCCCTGCCAAGGGCAGGGGGGTTGGAACTGGATGATCTTTAAGGTCCCTTCCAACCCAAACCATCCTGTGATTCTATGATGATTTGGTTCCCAAATTTTTATTCCAGATTGCAGGAAAATATACTTTTGTCTGTGTGCTTTTTGAATACAGTAGGGACTATTTGCTTGCTTGCTTTATTTTACACTAATTATCATTTCTCACTTGTCTAACTTCTGTCCTGTACAATTAATCGCAGTCATAAAACCACATTTTTTTGTAACTGTGGTAAAGGTGTCATCCCCTGTGCTTTTAAGGATTAAATCCTGCAAATACGCACTGGGGGAATTTCACTCATGTTTGTAAGTCCTGTGACTTTAATAGAGCTATGCAATTAGAAAAGGATGGAGGTGTGAGTGATAGCTGAAATGGGGCCATCACGAATATGGGATAATGAAGAACATGGAGTCAATGAAATGCACAGTTGCTTGTAAAATGTACCATAGACTGATGATTCAGCAGCTCCCCACTTATCACACATATATCAAGAGCTCCTGCAAGTAAAGTAAATTTTGTGGGATTGTGTGTAATAACTCTTGCAAGACCTCAGGATAATATAGCATGCAGTCATATTTCAACATAAATATATGTAAAAAAAACAGGCATTCCTCCTCTTGCCTTCCCCTGTTGTAGTGTGCATCAGCAAAGCTCGAGTAACACACATAATGCTTAAGTCAAGAGAAAAGCACTGGGAATGGTTATGTGAGCGGGACTTTTCTACAACAGCTGCCAGAATTAGGACTGTGTTTCACAATCACTTACTGCGGAGCAGAATATACTGTCAGGAGATACTCTGTTCTAAATAGTTTGTAGGATTGGGCCCTGCTGATGAAAGGGGAAGAGCTAGAGGAACATTTTAGTTTAAGTTATTCATATTGGAAGATGATTTAATATAAACCAACTAGTCATTTTTCCTCTGCTGTTTGTCTAACGTGGATGCTAGGGGAACACCTGCTCAAATGAAGGATTAGTGAATTCAGAACCACTGAGAGAAATATAATTTCTCATAGCATGTCACCAGCATGGTAATTCACTATCACAGGAGGTCAGATTCTTGCCTGTAGCTAGATTGTTAATACAGTCACATAATTTTATTATAGTTGTAATATTTTTTTAGTTATGCCAGCTAGGAGGGAAATAAGACCAATCAAGTCTCTTGATTTAGGGCATAATCAGTTATCACCCATGGGGTCAAGAAGGAAATTCTTTTATTCTACACTATACAATACACTGAGTATTTAGGTTCCTCTCTAGCTTTGAACTCCTTTAAGTCATTTGGTATCAGGCACTGCCCCACTTGAGATGCACCACCAACTGCATCTGTGGGTGCGCATCAAATTTTCTAAGAAGTTGTGTGGAGTGAATAGAGAGGCACTTTGCTCTTCTGTTCTGTACTACAGTGAACCATCCTTTCTTTTCCACTCGCTGTCTAATGGCCAAGTTTATAAAAAGCAACCTCGAGTTTCTTTTCTTACTTGCAGATAACTGACACAAAACATCTAAATGCTAGGCAGTGCTTTTATAAACTATTTTCCTTCCAAATGTTCCCAGTGTGTTTAAAAAAAATGCATTTTATTATTCTCGTAATGAAAGATCTCTCCTCAGCATTCTGCAGCTTGTCTGCCCATCTGAGTGGTAAATTCACTTAAGTAGCCAGTGTTAAGGGATCCAGGCAGCATCCATTAATGAACCCATTATTTCCAACTGTACTCAGTAGTTAATTCTGTTTTGCAAATTTGGAGGATATAATCTGGAACAATTGCACTGGAATTTCTGCCTTTGAATGCATGGAAAATTCTCCTTTTCCCTCTGTTGGGAGCTGTGCAGCATAAAGCAGGATTCAGTATCAAGATGACCTCATTCATTATAGTCATGACATAAATAAGCTGAACTATCTTTTTTTTTGCCTATCAGGGTGGAGGAAGCTAGCAATAAAGTCTTGAAAGCTGAGAAGAGGCTTCAGAAAGAGCAGCAGCGATGTGTTGTTTTGGAACAGCAGCTTGGAAAGCTACAAATGGATCCAGGTAGGAACACAGGTGCACAGAAACCTCCTCTGAGGAGCAAAACAGGTGAGGTGGAGCACTTACAACTGTGTCCCTCTTCCCACCTCTGTGGTTAATAGATAGCAACAACATTTGGACTCTTATCAAACCTACACAAGTGCTTGACCTTACACACAACCATTTGGACCTACTCAGACCAGTGGACCAATACAGAAGGTGAAATCCTGGCCCAACTTAATGCAAAAGGACTTTACCACAGATTGAAGTGGGACCAGGACTTTTGCGATGTGTTGTTTTCATGGGATGACAGTCTAGAGAAAAAACTCGACACTGCTCTGTGTTGCTACCATGCCCACTGCTGTGTTCCCTTTGCACTTCTTCCTGAAGGTTAAGAGCAGTATTAAAGGATGCATCCCAATTTAAGGCCTGTCAGTGTCTATGAAAAACTATTACTGGTGATGAAGTAATTAGATCTGATGTAATTTATTATCCCATGAACATGATAATCTCCTGCTATAAATATGAAAGCCTCACTAGCATAGTTAAATGAGAAGAATTCATGGTGGATGTTAAATTTTTATTTCCCTGATCAGATCCTTTTATTGCCAAAGGACTCTGATCCTGTAAAGTGTCTAAACCAATAAAATGGCACATATTCTTAAGGAAACTTTTCCAGTGGTTTCCCTTTTTATGTGTATTTTCATAAAGTAAAATGACTTTAAATGCCAGGATAGGAACAGTAGGAATAGGAATTTCAATGTAACAAATCCTAGGATGCCGTCAGGCTGAGTTACGATGATTAAAGAGGTCACAAGCCTCATCAGAGACCTTGTACGAGCTCTTGGCCTGTCCCACACCGAAACACATGATCTTGGGCCGAAGGGGAACTGCCCTGCAGCTCAGCAGATGCATGGCATGGCTTTCCATTGTGACTCCATCCAGCGCTGCGGTGTGTGCTAATGCGACCTCATCACCTTAGAGCTGACCTGGACTGAGCACTGTGACCTGTACAAGCAATCACATCCTCTTCCACCTGCACTGGTGTCTTGTTTCTCCTTAGGCAGGGGTCAGACTGAGGTAAGAAACACTAGTGTCACTGCATTGTATTTCTTTGCATCTCCCATTGTAGTGCTCTTGGTCATACACATGTTTGACAGTAAGTTCTCTCTGGAGCAGGACTGTGATGTAAGGAATCGCTTGTGGTTGTTCACTATGACCTCGATTCATACAGCAGAGTAGGGTCTCCAGTGTAACATCTACAGAGTACTCAACACCTCAGGGGAAGCTCTGCCATTCACCCATCCAGCCTACAGAGGCAATTAGGTATACAGGAACAGGATTCAGAGGAGCCTTTATCCTGAATAGGGACTGCATTCAGACCTTCTCCTCTCTGAAATATGGATCCATCCCTTAGAGCAGAACCGTTCTGTCCTTAGAAAGGGCTCCAGTCAGCACTGACTCATTCTCATGTGTTTTTCTGATTTTTAGAGCTGTCTTACCTGTATCGACCAAGACCCTGGCAGCAGAAAGAGTAATGCAGAAAAACTTAGATGCTAATAGAAACCTAAGCAAAATGCTGCAGCCTTTGGCCTTAGGCTATAGGACATTCATCCTGATAAGAGAGCAGTCCTGGGCCTCACAGAGGTGGTATCATGGGGTGCCCTTTGTGATTCCCAGGAGGGTTTGGAGGTGAGAGGCTTTGGAGCCCTCATATGGTTCTGCAGATGCCCAGAAGAAGAAATCAGGGTGTGTGTAGGGACAGATAACAGCCAGGTGAGAGCTGTGGGAATACAGCTCTCAGTGGCACACTTTTTACTGACTTCTTGCCTTAAATATCATGGAAGCATTTTGGTGCTGTCTTCTAGAGGATAACTTAACTGAAGTTTTGAGTGCTCAGACGTTTATACAACCTGGTAGTGTGAAGTGTTGATGTGTTGTTCTGCTATCATACATGTGCTCCACTTAGATTTCCCTTGCCACCTCAAAGAGGTACAGTGATAAACTGTCCAGGTCCTGAGAATTTTAGCTCAAGTTGTTGTGCTGTAGTAACAGTTTGGTAACTCATATCTAGGAGACTGTCATTCCAGTCTGACTGCTGGTGAAACAGGCTGTTGTTAGCAGTGTGACAGGTTCCTTCTTACTAAATACTTAGTTCATTAGTCCTGTCTGCTTAAGGACTACAAGCAAATGTAGAAAAGGATTGGCAGTGAGACTAATAAGAAGGAATCCTCTAAATCCGTAAGATGAGTAGGTAAAATTTATTTTGCCATCCTTCTCTGAAGAGAGATCAGCCCCTTGTGATGTGCCAAAACTCTCTGGAGTTTGTACACGAATCAAGTCTACAAGTCTGTAATATACCTCTTCAGTAGAGCATATAGGTTATCTAAATGCTTTCATGCCAGACAGTTGAGGAAATAAGAAGGAATTAAAAGCTTGAATGTAAAATAGAGACTAGAGAACCCACTAATTAACATAATATTTTCTTTTCTTTCTGAAAGTGCAAAATTGGAGAGAGCTGATCTAATTGCTAATCTAATGTTTCTAGTTTCTTCAATTCAAGGGAAGTAGATAATGATGCTGAGTAGCTAGAAACAACCCAGTTGTGTTTTTAAATTATTCATGCTTTTCGTTTTTCAACATTTTTTCTGTCTTATTCAAATTTCAAATTAGCAAAAATAATTCCAGAGGAGAATAGGTAAGTAACAACAGGTTTTTCTCAGCCCTGTGAAATGCAGCCTCAAGATCAAAAGCATTTTCTTGGTTATACAACATAGCCTTTTCTTCTCATGTGTTTTTGTCATAGTCCAATACTCTCTGACCAGGTTCTTTTAGATATTCTACACAAGGGGGATTTAGGGTTTGAATACCGAATTTGCTTATTTAAAGATATTTGACATTATGTGGGATTTCAATTCGGAAAAAGTGAGACAGCACAATATAGCAATTGCAACGTGCGGTTGAATCACAGTACAAATATGATTCTTGTTACTGGCCTAGATGCTCACCATCACAACGCCGCTGGGAAGGAATATGTGAGCTGAAGGCAGCTCAGGCCCTTTGTTTTCTGCAAAGTTCATTTTGCTGGTTTTTAAATTTTTGTACTGTATGTTGGGCTGAACCACATATACACTTCCCTCATGTTGGTCTGGCTGGTAGGTAGTACTTTCTGTTGCTTATTTTACAGGAGGCCATTTACATTTACTCAACTGATTCAGCTGTTTATTTACAGCAAAGACCACCCTCCAGTCCCCTTGGTGTTGAGATAAGTTCAGCATCCTCTACGATAGCTGTCGTCACTTTCTACATTCTTTTCTGAGCTTCTTGAGCACATCACCCTTGCCTGTCTTCTCTGAGCCTTCTTCCATTGTAGGGATTCACTGGTCAGTCACCTTTTTTTGGTTTTCCAATCCCAGTAGTAAATTTAAATTGTATTTTCTCTATGTCTCTGAAAAAAGTTTTTGTGTCCCCTTGTAATCACAGGAGCAATGTTTTGGGTAGGCCTTTAATTAGGAAAGCATTCCTGATTTAGAACCCTAGTTTGAAGTACTTAAGTATTTTATTGTGTTTGACCTGTGTTGTGTTTATGCTGAGAATCAAAGTGCTTTAACAAAAGCTGTTTCAACGTGTGCCACACACAAACATTATCACAGGCATTCAGGAAGCAACAGTTGCCATAATCTTAAAATTGTGAAACACAATGAGAAGATAAATATCAAAATAATCCTTTTCAACTGTTTCTATCACCTATTGTTTTGGCCACTTGAATATTTTGGATTTTTTTTTCTTCTCTAAATAGCATGCATATTACTGCATTTAGCCCAGAAATGTGAACTCATCATGTTTTAATTTTGCTTAAAGGAGATTAAAATAAAAGCCTGTCTTATATAATTACAGTATCTTCATGTATATACATAGAACTGACCAGATTCCTTAGTATTTAGTCACTATTTCCTGAGATTTACCCAGTGTGCTAACAAGTGAAAATGGTTTCTTGTTTCATGATTGAATCTACAGAGCAGTCTGCGAGTCACTCAGGACTCCCCTTGAATTGGAGCGATAGGAAGGAGCTCTCTGCAGCCCAGCTCTCCGAGTTGCCCCTAGAATCACAGATAGAGGAGCTGAGCACAAGGTATGGTTCCCCTTCCTCCCTGCTGTGTTATTCACAACAGCTAACATTCATTGCTGTCCTTTTAGCAGTGATATTACCTGCACCTGCTCCTCAGAGGATAAAACCTAGCAAACTGTGTAGAAATCACAGATCCTCTGGTTTGTCTATGTCATTCTTACACAAATTTCCTAGTAGTTATACCCAGAAATGATAAGCTAATGCAAATATTAAGCAACACAAAAGACATGCAAGGAAGAAACTTTTTTTTTCTTTTTCTTTCCTTATATGTAAATTGCAAGCTTATTAGTGAAAATAAAATTGTAATATTTTACAAAATAGATCTGGACAGTATCTTGGCCATCTAATACTCTTTTCTATCTCAAAGAGAGAAGGGGTAAGTTTTAAGTCTGCTCTTTCTCATGCCTGTCATGAAATTACAGAGAGCATGTGTTTCAGTGTTTTCTTCCCCAGAGCTGAAGCACTGTTCTAATTTGCTTTGAAGCTCCACAGCTCTCATGAAAGTTTTCCTTTTGTTTCCTCATAGGCTTGTGACCCAGCTGGATGAGAATGAAGCTCTGAAGGCCGCTTTGCAGTCTACTGTGAGAAACAAAGAGGAAGACTTTAAACTGTATCAAGACACAGTGGAGCAAGTGAAAGATATCTTTTTACAGGCCATTCAGCAGCAGAAAGAAGAGAAGACTTAAGCAAGATATTCATAGTTCTTTGGACTGCAAAGCAGAGAGAGAGCCCAGGCATCATGCCCATGAATTGAAATGCAGTGGCAGTGTAGTTTTGCAGCCTCAGATCGTATAATTTCTTTAGCATTTTCAGAAGAGGATTAAAAATGGAGATGAAATACAAAAAGAGTGATGGTTTTGCATGTCAGCAAATCCTGTCTGTAAGAGTTAGCAAGCAGCTGCACATGCCGTAGATAGATGCAGTTTAGGAAGCCACAGTTCTGCAGTGTGATTTTGGGCAAAACCTTCCGAGTTTCAACAGAATTTTCCTCAAGAGGGCTTGATATTCAATATGCTGCTGCCTTTATCAGCTCATAAAGGAATTTGCCATACAAAAGTTATGCCAGTTCCCTTCCAAAGTCATGCCAGGAACAAACTGAGCTGTTTTTATCGGCACACTGATACCTGTCTGTCTCAGGCTTTCCTGGTAGTACTCAAGTGCTGAGGGAGTGGATTGGCCTGGCCTGACCTGGCCGGTGACAAGTGAATTTGGGGGGGGCTCCACTCACCATTCCAAGCAGTTTCTTTGCTTGAACATATTGGTAGCAGAGTTTTCTGAAACTCACTGGAGTTTCCACTGAAGGTAGACTGTGCAGATCAAGCCTGCGGTCAGTCAGACCTACCTTAAATTCATCTCACTCCAAATGGAACTTGTCACCCAGGTTATGAATTCCCTATTTCTGGATCTCTGCGTTCATCCATCAGGCAGGTCATGTTCTCGCTGGGAAGAAATGCTAACAAAACACAGGCAGGTCCTCACTGCAGCAGTGGAGGGACTTTTGGCAATGCCGAAAGCCCTCGCATCCTTGTCCTTTTCTCTTGCAGCATGAGAACACCAAGTGCAAGCTAATAAGGCATTAAGATGCAGCTTGCCAGCAGTGAGCTAGCCTTGGGGATTACAAGCAAATGGAGAGCTAGTTATTTTTGTATAGTACTGCTTTGTTTCTCTACTGAAAGTCTTGAAAGCTCTTCTTTGTCAGCCTCCTCCTATGAGTGTGAAGTTTGTCAGACTTTAACCCCAGCTACCACCAGTGCCAGGTGGGTTTGTGGACAGGGGAAGCGCCACTCCCTTCCCAGAACAGGGACTGCATCCTGACTCCACTCCTGCTGCGATAAGGCAGAGGGAAAAAGAGCAGAGCAGGGGTGAGTCTGCAGTGAGTTACTCTGCAGTGAGGGTGGTGTCATCCCCGTCTTTTTCCTGCTTAGGTTCAGAGGTGTCTCTCTTCAAACAGTTCACAGGGTCCCTGATGGAGGAGGGTGCTGGCCGAGAGTTAACCCTCCCTGTGCTTATGAGCCCTGCTCTGCTGCCTATAACAGCAAAACTGTCAGGCGTCTCTCGTAAAGAGCAGGACCAAAACAGCTCATTGCCATATTCCTCCTGCTTGCCCTGCCAGTAGCATCCAGGGAAAAGGCATCTTGCAACCCCCAATCCTCTTCTCCTGACAACTCGAGGAATCACAAATCCTGGATCAAGAAACAGACACAGTCTCATTCAAATGAATTGCAGTTTGTTTCTGTTCAACTACATCCTGATGACTATGTAGCATGGGATAGAGTGAGCCAACCAAAGAGAAGAAATCAGCCCACCCCCAACAGATATTTTAAGGACCTGAAATAGTGAGGGGGTCACTGGGAAACTGCCTGAGCTATGACAAGAAGTGTGGAGATTTTGCTAATTGGTGGCTGCTAAATTCAGCCTGGTAGCTTGCAGCTGGAGGTTCTGATTTTGCTTACACAGAAGTGTGAATCAATAATATTTTCATGTAAGTACAGGAGAGGCAGCCTGCCATCCTTTCTAATACACGGTCAGCGTTTTTCCCTTGTCCTGTAACAAAGCAGTGAAGATTGTACCACTCTGCAGCAAAATGGCTATGACTCAACCCATGAAACACAGATAAGAAACTAGGAGTGATGTATGTTACAGAACGCATATGGCTCACTAGCACATGGTGCAAACTTCTTCTCAACTTGCAGCAACACTCATTTCTTTAAACATATGCTTGTTTGGGGTTGCGCTGAAGCTTTCTCTTTTTTTCCTGCACAAACATGTACAGAGCAGCATTGGATGCCTTGGCAAAGAAGGAACTAAGACACAATAAAAGTTTGTTTAGAGACATCGTACCTGTAAGTAACTGTTTCTCATGGAAATGTGCAGTCTGTCTCCCATCACAGAGTAGTAGAGGGGTCTGAACACAGGCCCAATTGTCCAGGTCTTCCCAGTTTTCACCTTAATTTTGAAATAAATTCCCTCTGCACTTCCACAGAGTGACCTACCTTTGAATTCTCTCTGTGCTTTTGCAGCAACTGCTTCCCGGTTTTCAAGCTCTGAGACCAGTTTTCTTGCAGTGCATGTTGTTTTGTTGCTGAGTGTAAGAAACCCAGACAGATCTTGGCAGCAGCAGCCCTGGTTCATCTGGCTGCAGCAGCCCCATCTCCCCCAACACATCGCTCAGAGAATAAAAACTGGAAATATTTTTCTCACTGCCTTCAAAAACCCCTACCACTGGTCCTCAGCCACAGAATCTCTCCAGCACGCTTGTTGTGCTGTTTGAGCTACAATTATTTTAGGGATGTAGCTGGACCTGATCTGAAACCTCCACAACCCCTGGCTTTCTTTGGATGTTTGTCCTTGTGGATAATTACCTGCCTGTTAAAATCCCATGCTTTGATTCTCATTTGAATTCCTCTGGCTTCAGTTTGCAGCCAGTCATTGTTACCTTTTTTCACTAGATAGAAGTGGTGTGAGTAACCCAGCATTTTCTCACTGGGACAGCCTTCATCTAGTGCAAAGTCATGTCACAGGTCACTTTTTTATAAGCTCTGAGATTTTTCAGTCTCTCATTGTAGCTAATGGTGATGACAGGCTAGTGGTGACAGCACTCGGCACCGCTGGCACAGGCTGCTGGATACAGTTAAGCTGTGAAGAACAGTGTAAGGTTAATTTTGCTGCAAGTATTTGAGGCTATGGACACTCCTTGTTAGGATTTGGCCAGCTTTTAGCTAATGTATGCTGAGAATATGAGTCCTCCAAACACTTGGACTGAGCCAAAGGTGGTTTCCAACCTTGGAGCAGGGCAAAGCATTTCCATGAAGCAGCCATAAAGCACCTGACAGATGCATCCAATTTTAAAAATACAACTGAACCACTGGGAATAAATGACCTTTGATGAATTGTCATCATTTTCCTTTCAGCCTGTTGCGAGGCATCTACCTGCGAAGAGCAGGCATCGCAAGAGTGCAGCTTTCCACACTGGCCGTAATGTGAATTAAGTTGCATTAGTGTGGTTAAATATAGACAGTATCAACACAGGCAAGCCCTCCCAGCCCTGGACTCTGCTCGGCCAAGAGGCAGAGGATCAGCCAGCAGGTCAAAGCCGATCCTACTGTAACAGCTGCAATTTTAGAGCCACAGATTGGGGGTGTGGGTGGCTTATGCCCTCCCCAAGACTCCAAAGCAGGAGAGAAGCACGAGGAGACATATTTCAGTCCTTCATGTGGGTGGAATGGGGAGAAGGATGGTGGCAAAGGGGAATAAGTAGGAAACTGCTTTGCCAACCCCTCTGGCGGCAGCAGCCAGCAGCTGCTACTGCCCTGCAAGCTGCAGGGCCCTCACCCCACGCATGACAAAGGGAATGAGGTTCGGCTTTAAATGGAAAAATACTCTAGCAGAGTCCCCATGCTCTAAATTAAGCCACAACTAAGCCAAGAGGGATATTGGGTTTCTACCCTCATCCTCTCCTCTGAGCCCAGCTTGCGAGCTGGCGGCTCCCGCGGGACAGGGCAGCCTTGCTCAACAAATGCCACCTCAATCCCCACGCGTCTCCGCTTACAGCTCCGAAACCCATCTGCAGGCAGGGGGTGAAGCCCTGGGCTTTAGAGCAGCTTGTTTGTCAGCCAGAATAGTCACCTGCAGGGTGAAGCGTGGCAGCAAGAGGAGGGGGAGTCATTCCACAAGGGTGTTGACCTATTTGGATCATTTTTTCAGGAGCAGAACTGTGAGGAGAGGAGCTGAATGCTTTGACCTGACACTGGGTTGTCCCTGCCAGGTGGTGGGAGTCTTCCTCAGAGTCCTTCCCCAGGGCAGCAGGAGGTCCCAGGACCTTTGGTGGGGTTGGTGTGTCCCCTGGGTGACAGGCAGAGCTCTTCTGGGGGTGCTGAGAGAGGTCCTGGGGGTGACCTTGGGTGGATCAGTGGAGGCCACAGGAGGTGTCTTCTGAGGTCCTGGTGGGATTGGCATGATCCCAGCGACACGTTTGCATGGGGAACCCAATGAGGCAACCGCAGGAAGTATAAAACAACTCATGTAGGTTATTATAACCCTCTATCCTTCCAGTTCATCCCATAAAGATGGGATTTAACAGCAGTTCTGGCTAACCAGGGGGGGTGGTGGTGTGTGTGTGTGTGTGTGTGTGTGTGTGTGTGTCCCAGTTGACTGGAAGTTAGCATGTGTGACACCCACCTACAAGAAGGGCCAGAATGAGGATGTGAGGAACTACAGGCCTGTCGGTCTGACATTGGTGCCAGATGGAGCAGATCATCCTGAGTGCCATTACACGGCACGTGCAGGACAAGCAGGTGATCAGGCCCAGTCAGCCATGGGTTTATGAACCTGCCGACCAATCTGATCTCCTGTTACAAGGTGACTGCTTAGTGGATGAGAGAAAGGCTGTGGATGTTGTCTACCTAGACATTGGTAAAGCCTTGGACACTGTTTCCTACAGCATTCTCCTGGAGAAACTGGTTGCTCGTGACTTGGACAGGTGTACTGTTTGCTGGGTAAAAAACTGGCTGGATGGCCAAGCCCAGACAGTGGTGGTGAATGGGGTTAAATCCAGTTGGTGGTTGGTCATAAGTGCTTAGTACTGGGGCCAGTTCTGTTTAATATCTTTATCAATGATCTGGACTAGGGGGTGGAGTGCACCCTCAGTCAGTTTGCAGATGACACCCAGCTGGGTGGGAGTGTTGATCTGCTCGAGGGTAGGGAGGCTCTGCAGAGAGACCTGGGCAGGCTGGAGCCATGGGCTGAGCCCAACTGGGGGAGTTTCAATAAGGGCAAATGCCGGGGGCTGCCCTTGAGCCACAACAACCCCCAGCAGCGCTACAGGCTTGGGGAGGAGTGGCTGGAGAGCTGCCAGTCAGAGAGGGACCTGAGGGGGGATTGATAATGAGCCAGCAGTGTGCCCAGGGGGCCAAGAAGACCAACAGCATCCTGGCTTGTGTCAGCACCAGTGTGGCCAGCAGGGTAAGGCTGCACCTGGATTACTGTGTTCAGTTTTGGGCCCCTCGCTACAGGAAAGACATTGGGGTCCTGGAGCGTTTCCAAAGAAGGTCAACGAAGCTGGTGAAGGGTTTAGAGCACAAGTCCTGTGAGGAGCAGCTGAAGGAACTGGGGTTGTTTAGCCTGGAAAAGAGGGGGCTCAGGGGAGACCTTACCTCTCTCCGCAACTACCTGAGAGGAGATGTTGATCTGTTCTCCCGAGTAACAAGTGATAGAAGAGGAAATGGCCTCAAGTTGCACCAGGAAAGGTGTAGATTGGATATTAGGAAAAACTTCTTCAACAAAAGGGTTATCAAGCACTGGAACAGGCTGCCCAGGGAAGTGGTTGAGTCACGATCCCAGGAGGTGTTTAAAAGAGGTGTAGATGTGGCACTTTGGAACATGATTTAGTGATGGACTTGGCAGTGTTGGGTTAATGGTTGAACTCAGTGATCTTAAAGGTCTTTTCCAACCTAAATGATTCTCTGATTCTATGAAGAGCTGCTCCAGTAGCAGGGAGACAGCAGCATTAGAAAGTATTTCCTTCCAGAAGGAGCTATTGGGTGTTGGAATGGGCTGCCCAGGGCAGGGGGGGAGTCCCCATCCCTGGAGGGGTTGGAGAGTCGGGCTGACCCAGCGCTGAGGGATCTGGTGGAGTTGGGAACGGTCAGGGGGAGGGTCATGGTTGGGCTGGAGGAGTTTCAAGGGCTTTTCCAACCCAGATCATTCTGTGATAAGGCAGGAGCAAGCAGGAGGCTCCTTCGATGTTCCCATCCCAGTTCATGCTGTGCCTTGCTGGGACAGAGCCAAGCACCTTTTGTTGAACCCCACCACCTTCCCACTCACTTTCTTGTACACTAAAGAGGGGCCTAGTGTTAACTCATGTGCCACAACTTCCAGCAACCTCCCAAATGTTTGAAAAAAACTATCATTAAAATCAGCTTGAAGCCATAAACAACCTTTCTTCATAAAGGAGCAGCACTGGGGCAGTAAAACACAGAGACATCCCCTGTGCTGAGGAAGGCACACTGGTCACATTAAAAGTAAATCTTATTACATTAGAAAGCAAGAGCAGCAGGGGGTTCTTTCTAATTTTTTATAATATCGATAAATTAAAGCTAAATGATTTTTATCACCACAGTTCCCAGAGCCTCATGGAAAACCACTGCCCAGCCCTCCACCTGTATTGCACTTTCAATCTGTCAGGATCACAAATTACTCAGGATTAAAAAAAATAACGAAAACAAAAATCTATCATCAGCCTGAAACTCTCTGGAGGCCAATGCCCAGGGTGAACAGCATGGTGGCACCATAACCCTCCTGCCCTCTGGGTCCCGCTCCCTGGAGACACCCCGACATCCCTCATGTCCCCAAAAACAGGATCCCCAGCGCCTCCAGCCCCGTGGCCACACAACGGGGCCCACTGTGCCTCCAACACTGAACAAGCAGAGAGAAGGGTTTGTGGGCTGGTTCTGGTATCTGCATGGAGCAGGGTAAGAGGTGACTGGGTTTGGGAGCCAGGGAGGGTGATGGGGACATCTCGGTGTCCCCGTGTCCCTTTGCTCATTGTCTTCCTACACCGCCCTGCCACTGCAGCCAGCCCATGTCCGTCTGCACCCCCCGGCAGTGGGGACAGATGTGATTTTCCCTCCTGTGGAGGCTTCTTGACATATGGCCGTGGCTGGTCACAAACCCCTGCCCTCCACAGGCGCATGGAGCATGACGAATTGTGTCGCCGCGCTTACCTACTCCGATCTCTTAATTACGTTGCCTTTAATCACCCAGTCAATTGCAACAAGGACTGAAGAGCTGAAGTCCCCGGGCAGGGACTGAGCCGCAGTAACAGGATGAAGGCTGGGGCTCAGGGGCGTCCAAGGGGCAGACAGATGAATTCTGCCCCAGCTGTTGCAAATTAATGTGGCCCACTGGGTGCTGAAAAGGTTGGCCATACAGCCATCGCCAAGGCTCTGTGTGGGAACCTCTCTCTGTGTACAGCAAGTTAAAAATGCTTTTCTTGTTCGTGGCCAGCGCAACAGCAAAGCTGGACTCACCCGAGGGGTGTCCATCCTGGGGGTCCTCCCTCCTAAGCCCAGAACGTGACTCATCTCACCCCAAAGCAGACAAGCCATGGAGGGATTTAGAAAACCTGGGCTGACTGCATTGTTTCTCTCTCCTGATCCTACAGGCAGTCCAGGAGATGCTGGGGAAGTCAGCTCTCCCCGGACCTCACAGGGGTTTGGTAGAAAGAGCTTGGTGCAGGGCACAGAGACGGCCTGGCACTGTGTTGACCTGCTCTTGACTGACTTGTATTTCCACACCCCATAATAACAGAGACCAATACTCAACCCAGCCCCTTCCTATCTCCTATTTTGTCTGCAGATGCCAAAAGCTGAGAAGGAGACCCCAAAGAAGGTTTGTAGAGATGCTGCAACCTCCAAGCCCCACATCCACTCAAATACTGCCTGAGCGGGGGAGGATTTGCACCTTTCGGCTCTGTGCCTCAGTTTCCCCATCCCCACGCAATGACCGCTGCCTCCCCTCTTGCAGGGTGATGGGGGCTACTCCCTCCCTGGCAGGGCTCAAAACAGGACACCCAAACACCCCTGGGAGCGAGCCAGAGCCTGCGGGGGGGCTGCCGTGCCCCGTGGCCAGCCCTGGGCCGTGCTCCCTGGCCCGGGGTGAGCTCTGGCAGCCAGCACAGGTCCTCTCCAGCAGCTGCCGTGACAGACAGCTCCTGAACCAGCCCCCCTCTGCAGTGCTGCTCTAAAATAAAAATACCTCCCGCCTGCTCCGCTCCACTCCTGGCCAAAACTTCCTCCAGGGGCAAGGTGGGGGACGGCAGCCCCAAAATACACACGGCCGCCTCCCCCCCGCCCAAGACGGGCTGTGAGAGATGCTGTAGGACAAGTCAACGGCCCCCCAAATCCTCCATTGCTTCCCCCCTTTCCCCCCTCGGCCGCCCCCCGTCGCGGTGCCGGATCCTCGCACCTTCGCCCGCCTCCACCCG